CTAAAGCACCTGGGAAAACAGCGGAAGATGACCCAGGTGCTTGAGCCCCTGCACCCACATGGGAGACTGGAAAGAAGCTCCTGGCTCCTGGGTTCAGCCTGGCCCAGTCCCAGGGCATTACAGCCACTTGGGGAGTGAACCAACAGATGGAAGACCTCTCCCACTGTCTCTCCCTCTCTCTCTCTGTAACTCTGCTTATCAAATAAATAAAATAAATCTTTAAAAATTACAAGAAAATTGGGAGAAACATACAAGCTCATAGTGGTCCACAGAAATACTGAAATCTAGCTGTTTAAACATCAAAGCTCATTGATTCGGACTCAGTCCTACGTGAGCCCAGGGGTGTTTATTCTCCATAGTGCTTGGTGGCATCCTCTTCATTCTTGGCTCTTACGTTTTTCATGAAAGGTAGCACATGTCTGAAGCTGGGTGATTTTCTCAGTTTGCTTTCTGACTGTAGAACTTTGGTGGCTCTCTGCATTGTGTATTGCCTCAGTACATCTCAGCACAAGCTGACAGATGTTCAGCTAATATAATTCTCTTCAAAACTTTGTGTATCTCCTATGAGTGTTTTTGAGATTTATCCATTAGACAAGAGCAACATACCTACATGGACAAATCTCTTTGACTCATCCACACAACTGCAATAGACTAGCCAAGATGGAAGTCACAATGTTTTTATGAGCTGGCCTCACCAGCAACATGCTGTTGTTTTGCTGTCCATCACAAAGGACAACTCTGGCACAGTGCCAGAGAGGACTGTTTGAAGGTAAAAATACCAGGGGGTGTTGATGATACCATCAATGGTATGTTATTGGTATACATAGGCTCAGGATTATAACATCGTTTTGGTTTTGTATTGTTTAATGTTTTCAAATTCTATTTTTTAAAGGTTCACATTGCCAACTGTTATCTAAATTCATACACTGATGCCCTAACCCCAAGTACCTGAGAATGCAGCCATATTTGGGGATAGAGTCTTTACAATAGATTTTTTAGTTTATTATTATTATTATTTTATTTTTTTGACAGGCAGAGTGGACAGTGAGAGAGAGAGACAGAGAGAAAGGTCCTCCGTTGCCATTGGTTCACCCTCCAATGGCCGCCGCAGCCAGTGTGCTGCGGCCGGCGCACCATGCTGATCCGATGGCAGGAGCCAGGTGCTTCTCCTGGTCTCCCATGGGGTGCAGGGCCCAAGGACTTGGGTCATCCTCCACTGCACTCCCTGGCCACAGCAGAGAGCTGGCCTGGAAGAGGGGCAACCGGGACAGGATCCGGCGCCCTGATCGGGACTAGAACCCCGTGTGCCAGCGCCACAAAGCAGAGGATTAGCCTAGTGAGCCACAGCTCTGGCCCAGATTTTTTAATTTATTCGAGTAGTGAGTGCTGTGGCACAGCAAGCTAAACTGCCGCTTGGGACCCCTGCATCTCATATCAGAGTGCCTGGGATTGAGGACCATCTCCACTTCCAATCCAGCTTCTTGCTAACATGCCTGAAGGCAACAGATGATGACCCAAGTACTTGGAAGTTACTGGCTCCTGGCTTTGGCTTGGCCTACTCCCAGCTGTTGCAGGCATTTGAGGGGTGAAACAGCAGATGGGAGATCTCTCTGTCTCTGCCTCTTTCTCTCTCTCCCTCTACTTTTTAAATAAATAAAACATATTTTAAATAATTAAAACATGTATGTGAGAGATACACAGAAAGAGATTTCCCATGACTCCCCAAATGCTTGATCAGCCAGGGAAGGGTTAGGGCCGTAGCCAGGAGCTGGGAACTCAGTCTAGGTCTTCCATGTGGACGGCAGGGACCTAGTTACCAGAGTCTGAGTCAGCAGGAAGCTGGAAGTGGGAGCTGGAGGTGGGGACTGAATGCAGGCACTCCGAGAGGGGACATGGTGTTTTAATTGCTAGGCCAGATGTCCATCCTGCAGACTGGGTCTTTAAAAAGGCAATTAGGTTACAGTGAGGCTGTTAGGAGGGGGCCCTATTGCAATAGGACTGGCTTCTGCACAACGAGAGAGACAGAAGGAGCAGCAAGAGTGCACAGGGACAGTCAGGAGAGGCAGCAAGGGAGTGGTCATCTGCAAAGCCACAGAGAGAGGTCTCAGAGCAAATCAATCCTGCTGCCACCTTGATCTTGGACATCCACTGCCCCCCCTTCCCCCGGAATTGTGAGAAATCAAATTCCTGTGTTCAAGGCACCAAGTTGGTGGTATTTTGCCATGGCAGCCCAATGCAATTCATACATCAAATTTCTGAAAGATATTTGAAAATATCGTGTTGTGGCTCAACATCTACAAGCTCATCTTTAAAATACTTTTCAAAAGTAATTTTTGTTTTGATGCATATGATATTACCTCAGTGTATATAATTAGGTTTGTTTCTATACAAAATGTGCATAATTAGATTGGATTCTAATCTGATCTGAGAGTCTATGCTTTTACTAGGGAGATTGACACCTTTTTCATTTCCAATTATAGTTCATTAAAAATCTAATCTCTCAACTTCCGGAGTGGGAGAAGGAGGGATTCATGGCCCTCTAGGATGGAAGTGAACCAGAAGCTGCCCCAGCCTGACTTACTGTGGCTGAGATAAGGGGTTGGATTGTCATGGAAATGTTTTCCAGGAATTATCAGATCAACACAGGTCAAGATCAAGGCACCCGGCTTCCAGGGTCAGGGAGCAGGGGCATGACTGAGCCAGTGTAGAGGGAGGCTGAGGGAGGAGGAGGAGGATGGAAGGAGCTTTGGAGAAGCAGCCCCGGGGAAATCCTCCAAGCAGGAGCAACTGCAGAGGGAACATGGGACGGCTCTGCCGCCGCAGTGCAGGTTCACTTGCGGGGTGGGAAGCTGACTTACGCCAAGGGCCATGTGGATATTTACACCGTTTATGGGTCATACAAAATTTTCAACTTAAAAATTAGCCTGCTACAGATTCCTTGAATTTTGAGTTCCGCCTGCAGTTGCTGTGGCAGGGCTAGACCCAATGATTTCAGGAGCCTTACACAGCCCCTGGGCAGTCCGTTCCCCAGCTGTGAACCAACAGTCTGGGGTGCCCTCAAGCCCCCCAACAACATGCTTCTGACTTGGTGTTTGCTCCGCCTCTGGTTACACGAATTTCTGGCCGCTTACTTACTTGCTTGTCTTCCACATCGATCTGGAAGACAAGCTGCCTGTGTTCAGCTTCATGTTAGTTTGGAATTTAATCCAACATGTATTTTAACCTACACTTCTCTAATGATCAAACTCAGAACAAAGCAAGGTCTCTTGCCCACCTAGCAATTAAAGTAAGAAATTCGCATGCTTTTACTTTATCTTACATCTTACCTTAAAAATAGCATAGTCCCAATTTATCATGAAACCAATTGGTCAAGTTTTTTAAAAAATTCATGTTTTTTAAAAAACATTTTTAACTTCTATATTCAATTTTATGACTCTTAAAAAACACATAGGTGTCGGCTGCATAATCCTTTTGTATACTGATCTCCATTTCCTTGAGTTATTAATTTTGATTCTTTTTAATGCCCTGTGGATAATGTCTTTGAATAATTTTTCTTAAGATTTATTTATTATTTGAGAGGCAGAATTAGAGAGAGAGAAAGAGAGAAAGATCTTCCATCTACTGGCTCACTCCCCAAATGGCTACAATGGCTGGGACTGGACCAGGTTGAGGCCAGGAGTTCAGAACTCCATCCAGGTCTCCTACATGGATGCAGGGGCTCAAGCACTTGAGCCATCATCTGTTGCTTTCCCAGGCACATCAGCAGGGAGCTGGACCAGAACGGTAGCAGCCAGGTCTTGAACCAGCACTCTGGTATGGGGTGTTGGCGTTGTAAGCAGTGGCTTAACCTGCCATGTCCAGTGGCAACCCCACTTGAATGATTTTTAAGGAAGGCCATATGAGTGAAACTGCTGATTTTTAGATAGCTAACCATGCATTCCATGCCTTGAACTCATGAATTAAATCTCACTTGGAACAGAATGTTTAGATCATGAAATTTCCTCTTTAGAGGAGTCCATATTACTCCATCTGAAACTGGTGAACAAAGACTGAAGCTAGCCTAGTCTTTCTCCTTTTTGAATACACTATTATTTCCTATATGACGGCTTTTATGCTATTCTCTTTATTACAGTGTCCAGGCTGTGCAGTGGTATGCACATTTATTCCAACCGCTCTCGGCCCCCGGGTTCCTTTGCCTGTGCATGGCTAGAATACCTGCCCCCAGCCATGTGCCCTGCTTTCTTCCCTTCCCCTCCCTCCACCTTGTCCCAGGAGACAGGATCTTGTCATTGCAGGGGTCTCCCTCTGGCCTTCCTGGCACCACTTCCCATGCAGAGGGAGAGCAGCAGCCTGGATTCTGGTTAGAGAAGCCCCAAGCCCCTGAGCCCGGACAGAGTGGGATGAGTGAAACCTTCTGCCTGCATCGCTGGCTACTCACGATTGGATCAGAAGACGGAACAGATATTTCTGGGTGGGGGGTAACACTTCCTCAAAGCAACCCCACTGGCACTGAACTTGGTAGAAAATCCTTCCAGATTTTTATCAATGCTGACATAAGATTTTTCATGTGTGCAGAGTTCTGTGTGCAATTTAATAGGAAACGAGTGCATCTCTGGCTAACCCAAGGGTTCTCACGGATGCCTACCTGCTGTACTTCTACTCCCAGCTGCAGAAGACACTGTATTCATTACACATATAAGACAATGATTTTTCACTTCCAGTAGAGCTAAAAATCACTCCCCTTATCACCTCCTATGGCAGCCAAATGATCCTTGCAGGTGGATTCTAGAAGACGACATAAAGGGGTTCAACAGTAGCATCCTGACCTCCGGAGCAAGCAAGGCTGCCCTGCAAAATGTCCTAGAGGGACGCAAGCCATGGCTGGAAGCTTGCAATTCAGCTGACTCATCCTCGGCTACATTTAGCTGTGGCTAGTTTACCAGCAAGGATCTGCCTTAAACACATGTCAAAAGGAGAAATATAACACAAGGCATCTCTACCTTATAATAAATCCTGGCCACCAGACTCCGCTGAAGAACCCTTTCACGGAAACTCACGGCTTTCAACAGAAAGGCAAGGTCACCAACCGCGTCCCTGTTCAATGCCAGGAAGCTGCAAGGAAAACACAGAGAACATCATTATGACTTGAGCTTCACTGAAGTATTTCATCCAAAAGGAATAGAGGGGGTTGCTTTTTCAAAACAAAACAAGCTTCTCCCCATCGGCCAGCTACATAAATACAAATACACAGTCACGCGTCCTATCTCTCAGTGGCTTCTGTCCACTGCTCTTCTGACCAGTGCTGGGCTCCAGTTTTTCCAATGTGTCCATCCTTGCGGTATAAAGATAACTTACTCTCCTGCCTTTTCCACTTCCTATTGTATTAAAAGTAATGTTCATGATTTCATGTGGTCCTCACTAACATACATAATCTATGAAGTATGAGCTTATAATAATTTGTTCAGCAATTTTTGAGCATGATTATAATAAGTTTTACAGTGGAACATTAACAAATATATCTTTTATAAAGTATTTGTCAGGGGGCAGGCGCTGTGGTGCAATAGGCTAATCCTCTGTCTGTGGCGCTGGCATCCCATAGGGGCGCCGGTTTTAGTCCTGGCTGCTCCTCTTCCGATCCAGCTCTCTACTATGGGAAAGCAGCAGAGGATGGCCCAAGTGCTTGGGCCCCTGCACCCACATGGGAGACCTGGAAGAAGCTCCTGGCTCCTGGCTTCGGATCAGCCCAGCTCCGGCTATTGAGGCCATTTGGGGAGTGAACCAATGGATGGAAGATCTTTCTCTGTCTCTCCCTCTCACTGTCTGTAAACTCTACCTCTTAAATAAATAATTATTTTTTACAAATAAAGTATTTGTCAGTAAATATGAGTGTGCTTCAAAAAGTTCATAGGAAATGCATAATAAAAAGAAATTGCATAAATTTTCAAAAAAATTTTGCACCAAAATAAGCACAAGTTTTTTAAATTGAGAGGTAGACACATACAGAGAAAGAGAGAAGAGTAGACAGATAGACAGACACAGTATCTACCTGCCGATTCACTCTCCCAATGCTCCTGGCATCCAGGACTGGGCCAAGCCAAGGCCAGGAGCCAGGCAGTTAACCCAGGTCCACCACATAGGCGGCAGGAACCCAACTGCTTGAGCCATCAGTGTTGTCTCCCAGGGCATGCAGTAACAGGAAGCTGGAGCCAAGAGCCAGACCCAGGACTGAAATCAGGTATTCCGAAACAGGATGCAGGTACTTGCTGGGAGTCCTAACTGCTAGGCCCACCCCTAAGTTTATCTGTTATTCCATTTTCCATGAACTTTCTGAAGCACCTTTGTAATTTTATCAAGTACATTATGCATAGGAACTGTGCTCAGTATTTGCTGTGAATTATTCCATACTCTTAATAAGTCTAGGATTGCATTTGCCATAATTAATGAATTGTGGGTCCAGAAACTGAGGCTCAGCTTTGGTAAGTTGCTCAAGGTTTGGAAGCAGAGTACAGTTAGGCTCAGGTCTGCCTTGGGGAACACTCAGTATTCAAGGGAATAGGACTTTCTCCAGTAGGTGGTAATTTTACCTTCCCCACGAAGAAGCTGAGGCACGCGGGAATTAGGAGATCTAGCACAGACTCCAAACACCCACGGCTTCCGCAGCACAACTTCCCATGAGTTTCCCATCATGCAGCTCTGCCTTCTGTGCTAATTTTATGCCCCTCCCCCGCCCCCCTACCTGCAGTTAACCTAGAGACACAGGTGAGGGATTAGTTTGCACTCGGGGCTCCCCACAGCCCAGCCACCTCTTGCTCCCCATGCACCCACATCCTCAGGAAGTAAAGTATTCAAAGACCCGAATAAGTTAGATCTCCATTAAGCAAAAATTAAAAACTCATGTAGCTGTTGCCTTTGCTTCATCAGAAAGCACCCGAGGAATTCCAACGAGAACTTGGCAGAGTTAATAATAATGAGTGCTGAGTTCATAATCGCCCTCCATTCAGACAGGGAAGATGGGAGATCAGTTATGTGTCAATTACCAAGAAATCTAAATTCGATCAATTCTGATTTTGAATCTGGGCTTTCGAAGGTTGAGTTTCTGCCTCAGTCTATTTAACAAAAGGCATAAGGGACTTTGACATTTCACTGAAAGGTACATTTTAGCCATTCCTGAAGCTGCTACTATGCAGCTTGGAGGCCAGGGACGTCCCTATTGGAGTCGACCTTTCTTAGTTTGTTTACCATGGACCACTGCCTACCCTAAGCTGTGAGCTGCACCTGCTAAAGGAAGTGGTTCCCACCCATCCACTCCGAGATGAGTCACAGGTCAGGCACGGCTGCAGCTCTAGGAACTCTCTCAGTGTGGAAGACTGAGCCAAAAATAGGGCTATCGCTAAAAGCAACCTCCTTGTAATGAGGGATCTCACAAGAAAGCCAGACTGACTCTGTGTGTAAATAAAAGTTACATAAATGCAAATGCACATCCTTTGTCATCAGGGAAACGCAAATGAAGCCCACCCCAAGGTAGTTCCATGTAGCCACTAGAATGACTGCAGTGGAATGCACAGCCATCAAAGTCACCCAAGACGAAAGAGACCAGGGCGCTCACATTTGTTGATGGAAGTATAAACTGGCAAAACTGACGTGAGCCTGATGTGGGATAGGCAGGTAGTCCGTGTAGGTCTGCTGAGCCGGGGACTCAAGCCCCCACACTTGTCAATCAAAACTCCCCATTCCTGGTATGCATCTGCTCCACCCAAGACCTATACAGGGGCACTGGGAAAATAAAGGCACTGAGCTGTACTTGGAACTTGAGGAGATGATATGTAATTCCCAGGTGGCTTCATGGCTGGAGAGGCACCGTCTCCCACCTCACAAAGGAGACCATAAAGAGAGGAGCTCTCTCTTCCGCCACGGACCACGGTGACAGGTGCTGTGGGGGTGCCCCCTCTGCCTCTCCTCCCCTGCCCCTCCTCCTGTCGGGCAATCTTCTGGCCCACTGCCACTCATGATGGGTGTTCCTTTGTGGGGGGCAACCCCTGCTCACGCGTGTATGCGTGCTCACTCTCTCACCTTTCCAATGAGATCTGTTACCATTTTCTCCACCTTCGATGTGTCTGCATTTAGAATGCTTGTCGGTGAGCAGGGAAGGAGCCTGGAGGAAAAAATTACACACCCATGCTCACATGAGGCTCCGGCACCTTATTTTGCACTCCAGGTATTTACCTCCCGGAAGTAAGAATTCTAAGTGCAGGCATAGGACCATGCGTGAGTAGGAGCAGGATTCATTTAACAGTGAAAGAATGGACATCCAAGCATGAGTGTGGGTTACCTCTCACGGAGACCTACTTGTCATGAGTGGGCCAGGGGGCTGCTTTAGAGAAAAAAGCCTGGGGGGCACCCCCCAACCACAGTCAGGGGCAAAAAGTGGGCTCTGCCCAGTACAGCTTCTTTAATGAGATAGGGGTGGTGTGGGAAGCCAGCTGAGAATTTACGGGGCCCCTGCACGTGGAGTTCAATATGATCATCGTGGCATCTCCTGCACGAGACACGGGGGCATCCTGGGAAGATGGGTGTTTAGACTACCAGGTAAAGACAGAAGATTATGTTGCAGGGTTTGCAAGAATTCCAGCTCACTTAGACCTAATTAGCTGCCTGCCTATTCCTACCATATCAAAACCACTTTGGAAAAGGCTCTCAATTTCTGATAAAACTAAACAAATAGGTACACCACATCATTTAACAATTCCACTCCATTTGCCCAATGTTCTCTGCAATGCTACTCGCGGCAGTGAAAAACTGGAAACCTGTCGGGCAACTGTTCAAAATAAGAGAATGGAAAGCATTGTATTCCATATAATATACTTCCCAGCAGCAAAAAAGAACAAATGCATGTATGCGACAACCTGAATGCATTTCAAAAAAGCATGAAGTTGAGTTAATGAGCCAGCTCCAAGGGAGTGCAGACTGTGTGACTCCAACAACACGAAATTTTAAGTCAGAAAGAAACTAACTTGGGGTGGAAAAAAATCTCAGAACCGTGGCTGCGTCTGCGAGGTGATCACAGGGTTGCCCGGATAAGAGTCAGAGAGAACTTCCTGGAGCGATGGTGACGACTTACATCTTAATGAGAGTTTGGTTTTCGCAGGTGCATGCATTTGTCAAACCTCAGTGAGTGTACACTCGAAACTTGTGCATTTCATTGTATGCAAATTTTACATGAAAAGAAAAGGAACTATAACCAAATATTGAACTCCTGTTAATTCTGTTTGTGGTGACTGATTTAGAATGGTGCTGATACAGCTGAAGTTAAATTTGAAATGCATCAACAAGAGGTGGTGAATTGATGGGTGAGTTAAAAGGTTGAAGCATGGATGTGTGTGTGTGTGTGTGTGTGTGTGACACAGTAAGTACAGTCACACTCAAGCAGGATATAAATGCTCACTTTTTTCAGGTTTCCTGACTATTTTTGAAAAATCTCATAACACATTAAGGAAAAGCACGTGGGTGCCAGGCAGAATCCCACCCCCGACACCCCCCACCCCCGTTTCCTTAATACCCTCCGCCTCCTAGGGGTCCTAGGGCTGATGAGAGCAGTGGGAGTCCCCTGGCAGGCTCCCTTGTGGGGGAGGGGAGGGAGGTAGACAGGCGGCAGACAAGCAGGGGCAGGATGGAGGTCTTTGTAGAGCCAGGCACAGCCTCCTCTCGAAGCCACTTCCTCCCCGTGCTGCCCACCCTGCAGGGCCGCACCAGCCTCACCTGGCCCAGGAAACGTTACAGCCCCATGCCTGACGCCCCTCTCCCCGGCCCCGTCATCAAAGTGAGGGGTGGCCTGGTGGTGCTGGTTCAAAAGCCTGCCCGCCTGGAGGAATGTCATCGCCCTGAAAGCTCTCGGACCACCTTTCCTTGTGCCCGCACCTGCTCCTGGTACTTCCCCGAGCGCTGTCAATAGGGCTGAGCCCCACGGCTCTCCTGGACTGTGAGCCTCCTCCAATGCTGTGCCGCAGAGGGCAGGCCCACGCCTGGTGCCGGGAGTCCTGAGAACACGCTGATGGCAAAGGATTTCCTGATCGACACCGGAATGAGCAGATGCACACACACAGATTCAGCAAAACCTGGACGTGCGGCAAGGAGATGTGGACAGTTTTGGAGGTGCATAACCAAGACAAAGATATATGGACTTGAACTTTCCAAATATTTATTGAGATTGCCTTTGGCATGTCTCAAACCTGTCCTGGAAACCTTGATAGGAATATAGATTTGTATACAGGTGAGAGCCTGTCTCGCTTTCACTAGGACAGAGACAAGCCCTGCTCCACTACCTGGGAAGGAGATGAAAGGGCAGGTGAGTTGCGGCCAGTTGGGGAGCAAGTTTCCTGGAAGCATGGGGCTGATTCCGGAGGGAACTGTACTGTTCTTTCAACTCCTTGCATGCTGGGAGATTCCCAGATGCATAAGATGGGGGGAAGCTACTAGTGCTGTAGGATTCGCACTCAGGGCTGGAGATATTAAAAAGACACACTGACTTTCTAGAGAGTGTAAGGATAGACAGAGATATTTCAACTAAGAGAGATTTCAGAGAAACAGTCCTAGGATGTGGAAGTTCATGTTCTCAAGCTTTAAAACAGATTGCAGTTTGAATAAACAGGAACCTGAACAGCAATTTAAGAAAAAAAGAAAAGAAATGAAGTTTTAATTTCACTTTCTCCCAATGGTGATGAAAAACCCTGTGCACCTTTTATTGTATTTTATATTTCTATGTTTTTAACCAGGATTATGAGGCTCTATTTTCTAGTGAACAGTTTGGAAATTAGTTCAATACATTTGGGTCACAGAGACCAATAATCTGCTTCCAAAGAAAAATAGTAATTTTAAAAAAACGTAAAAGAAAAGGCCTGGGACTGGTGGTGTGGTGCACCTGGGTAAGCCGCTGCTTGCAGCACTGGCATCCCACACAGGAGTGCTGGCCGAGTCCTGGCTGTTCGGCTTCCACTCCAGCTCCCTACTAAAGCACCTGGGAAGGAAGTGGAAGGCGGCTCAAGTGCTTGGAGCCCTGCCACTCACGTGGGAGATCCAGGTGGTGCTCCGGGCTCCTGGCTTTGGCCTGGCCGAGCTCCGGCCATTACAACCACTTGGGGAGTGAACCAGCACAAGAAAGATCTCTCTCTCTCTCTCTCTCTCTCTCTCTCTCTCTCTGTCTTTCACTCTCTCTCTGTGTCACTGTCTTCCAAATAAATAAATAAATATTTTTAAAAAAATAAAAGGAAAAGAAAAAAGTATAATAAGTTCTCCAATGTATAATAAAACAGATAATACATTTCTGAGCATAAAACAATGAAACAGAAAGTGATGTCACAACAGAGGGGACCAACAAAGGAACAAACTGATTGAAAAATAATTATAGGGGCCGGCGCCCCATATGGGCACCAGTTCTAGTCCTGGCTGCTCCACTTCCCATCCAGATATCTGCTATTTCCTGGGAAAGCAGTAGAAGATGGCCCAAGTCCTTGGGCCCTTGAACCCACATGGGAGACCTGGAGGAAGCTCCTGGCTCCTGGCTTCAGATCTGCACAGCTCCAGCTGTTGCAGCCATTTGGGGAGTGAACCAGCGATGGAAGACCTCTCTCTCTCTCTCTCTCTCTCCCTCCCTCTCCTTCTCTCTGTGTGTAACTCTGACTTTCAAATAAATAAATAAATCTTAAAAGAAAAAAAAGAAGAAATACCCTAAGATCACTTCAAATAGAATCAGAAGTTATTTCATTCAGCAGGGACAGGACACATTCAAAATAAAAGGAAATGGAGATTTTCAGGATGTAAAGTCAGCAGAGGATCATTCTAACCAATAAAATGTTAAACTAATTCTTTTGAAAACCAGCAATAAGATAAAAGAATACCTCCTATGACTCTTTCTATTCAAATTACTTCAGAGGTCCTAGATCTTGCAGTAAGACATGAAAAGAATAAAACAAATAATTGGAAAGAACTGAAAAATCATTTTTTACAGATTGCAGAAAAAACTCCCAATGAATCTGTGTACCCTCTTAGAATTTCCTTTTACAGTCAGATTTATATATAATTCCAACCATGGATATAATAAACCAACAGCAACAACAAAACAATTTAAAAAGATATTCTTTTAACAACAGCAACGAAAGGGTAAGATAACTAATAATAAATCCATAAAAGGTTGCACTATGTATGGAGATGATTATAAAACTCCAGAAGACAAATCTTTGAGAGAAAATTCATAAGTGTGTCAAATTTTCTGCAAATCTATAGATTTAGTACACTTTCAAAGAAGATTCTAGCAGATTTCCAAACTGGGGTAAATATACACAGAACAAAACATTTGCCATTTTTACCACTTCAAATTTAGAGTTCTGGAAGATTAAATACACTCACACTATCCATCTCCAAGTGTTTTCATCCTCTCAAACTGAATCCCTGCCACGAACAATGACGGCTCACCCGCTCTCCCTCCCAGCGCCTGGTAAACCGTTCTCTAGTTTAGGTCTCTATGAATTTGACTGTGAGAGTCACTTCATATACATGCAGCTCTGCAACATTTTTGTTTTGCTGCACAGACTTTGCTTTATTTTGTTTTTGAGGAACCTGACAAACTGATTCCAAAACTTAAATCAAAGTGGAAAAAAAGCCAACACAATTCTGAATTATATTTAGACATGGTGATATGATTTTAAATAATCTAGTAAAATCTCATTATAAAGTGAGGGTAATTGTAACAGTGATTGATGGATAGTCCCAGGGCTGGTGTGTGTAAAGCCGCCACCTGCAGTACTGGCATCCCATATGGGCACTGGTTTGAGTCCCAGCTGCTCCACTTGCCATCCAGCTCTCTGCTACGGCCTGGGAAAGCAGTGGAAGATGGCTCAAGCTCTTGGGCCCCTTCACCTGTGTGGGAGACTTGGAAGCAGCTCCTGGCTCCAGGCTTCAGATCGGCGCAGCTCCAGCCGTTGCGGCCGTTTGGGGAGTGAATCAGCAGATAGAAGACCTCTCTCTCTCTCTCTCTCTCTCCCTCTTCATTCCCTCTCCCTCTCCCTCTCCCTCTCCGTAACTCTAACTTTCAAATAAATAAATAAATCTTAAAAGAAAGACACAACACATACACAAAAAAGGTTTGAGAATAAGCAAAACCTTAAGAGGCATGTCACAGAAGACATATGAATGGCAAACATGTGAAAACATGTTCCCCCTTAGTAATGAAAAAGAAAATGACCTTTAAAGTCTCCGTGGGAGACCACTGTTTCCTCTCATATGGCAGAAACCAGGAGGCTGATAACAGCCAGCATTGGTGAGGGTAGGATGTGGCTCTGGGGCTGTCTCATAGAGTTTAGCATGGGCATAGTCCACAAAACAGCACTTCTGCCCCTAGGTAGCACATCCCAGAGGACTGCTTTGCAAACACAGGTTGTGAATCACTAACGGGTTATGAATCACATTAAGGAGTGGGATCGGCATTCTTAAAAAGTAAGTATTAGAGAGCGGATGAGTCATGGAGTGGACAAGAGCCCTGTGATGAAGAATTTGCTTCAGTTGTGTTTGAGATGAGGGGGTCCTGTACACATCTGAGTGTCCTGGTGACATAAAATGTGTTTCTCACTTTGAATCATGACAACAAAGTGTGAAAGCCTTGCACACACACACACACACAAAAAAAAAAAAAACTAGTACACTTCCCTAGAAAACACGCATGAGATTTTTTATAATAGCCTTGTGCAAAATATCAGAACATGGCACACAAGCCAACTGTCCCCTGATACTAGAGATCAGAAGGAATCAGAAAAGTGTGGCAGAAACACATGATGGAATCTGATGGAATATTGCAAAGAGCAGATCCGTGGCAGCATACAACAATGTGGATGAGTCTTAGAAATAAAGTATTGGGTGAAAACCAAATATTGTAGAATACCATGCATATTATGCCTTATTTACAGAGTTTAAGTACAATAATTAAAAAACAATCAGGGGCCGGTGCTGTGGCACAGAGGTTTAAAGCCCCAGCTTGCAGCACCAGCATCCCATATGGGTGCTGGTTCTAGTCCCGGCTGCTCCTTTTCCAATCCAGCTCTCTGCTGTGGCCTGGGAAAGCAGTAGAAGATGGCCCAAGTGCTTGGGCCCCTGTACCCACGTGGGAGACCCAGAGGAAGCTCCTGAATCCTAACTTTGGATCAGCTCAGCTCTGGCCATTGCGGTCATTTGGGAAGTGAACCAGTGGATGGAAGACCTCTCTCTCTGGCTCTACCTCTCTGGCTCTACCTCTCCCTGTAACTCTGTCTTCTAAATAAATAAAATATTTTTAAAAAATCAGAGTAACAAAGGCATGGGTCCTGAAGCCAGGCATCCCAGAGTCATTCACTCACCATGCAACCCTGAGCAAAATATTCACTCTCTGTACCTCGGTCTCCTCATCCTTGAAATGGATACAGGCACATGCCTAATGAGGTTTGAGGATTAACATCTGTAAAGTGCTTGGCTTAGTGAATGTGTAATAAAGAAGGAACACAATAAAAAGGACAGGACTGGCAATATTTTAGTCCTCAAGTCGGGTGCTGGTTACATGAGGATAGATTTTTACATATTCACCATTTTTTTGTGTATACCAAACGATAGACATTTCAAACAAAAGTCAGTTGTTGCCTGTCAAGGTTCTATAAACTCCAGCCCTGTAATAAGACACTGGAGGCAGGTGACAGGGACACCTTGAGCAAAACGTACCTGGTTCTCAGCTTGTCACCCACAGACTCAGCATGGTTTCGGAGCAGGCCAAAGAGTGGTCTCTCTTCATACTGCTTGGTGTATTGGGTCAGCAGTTCCCGCACCACCACCTGTGCCAAGAGTTTACCATGCATCAGCCATGGCTCAGAGACTTGGGAAATGCCAGAGTGCAGTCCAATATAGTCTATCTATAGCAGCAAACGCCAGGGGAGCATCCACGTACAAGACCCCGGTCCCACCCCGGGCCTGTGTCTCCCGTAGCTGGTGTTCGGCGTCTCCCACACTACGCTCCATCCCTCCACAGCTGACTCCCAAGGCCCTAATTACAGCTCCCAGCTTACGGCTGTGCCTCCCCTGCCTGTATCGGCCACCAACACCTGTTCTCAGACCAACTGTTTTCCTTGACACCTTTAGGGGAACCTGCTTGCCTTCCGCCACTGCTCTGTTCGCTTTTCCACCTTGGACATTCTCTGGCCAATTCGGCCTTGGGGCATAGAATGAAAGTGTGTAAGTAAGAGAATCTTTATCCTTTCCCTCCCTCGGCAGCTCCAAAGCTACGATTTGGGCCTCAGAGGCAGCATGCTTTCAGGTTTGTTCAAAGAAGGAGTCCTTGGCTCCTGCTGCAGAGAGAGGAGCTCATATGAGAGTTAGCAACGAAGCACTTGATCAGCGAGTGAGGCCATCTCAGGCCAGCCTGTCTCCTGTGAATCCCCACAGGACGCTGCCATGGCAGGAGTGAGGCCGGGTTAGACCAGCAGAGGAACCACAAACAGCTGACCCTCACAGTCTTGAGCTAACGAGTCGTTGTTAGCAATTATGTTTTTGGGGTGTTGTGGTACAAATCCACATAACTTTTAAAACAAGCCCATTTTCTCGTGCTGCTGACCCTTTGGGGAACGATTCGGTGACGGAAGCTGTGAGTTACCACGGGTGTTACAGTCTCCGGACCCAATATTTTATTTGATAAATGGCAGAAAGGAGGCGAAGACGGCTCAGCCACCACCTGGACCAAGCATGCAAAGATGTGCTTGTACTCACCTGACAGGTGTGTTCCCGATTACTATTTATGATATCCCATAGATACAAGTAGTTTCCATTGCAAATTATACCCGCAAGAGTTGCAAAATTAAAGTAGTACCGAGTCTCTCCAGCCCCACTAGCCCCAAAAGTGATCTTTTCTGTGAAAACCGTAGCTATCAAAACCAGGAAATTAAATTAGATTTTTATTCATGAACCATCTTAGTTGCAATAGAGATTTCATTATGTAAGTTGAAACCGGTAGTAGATCGTTTTGTAAAACAAAATACTGTTTACAATCCAAAGTATTTCATCTTTATCTAACTCTGATGTTTGACTTTTTTTTTTTTTTCTTGATAGGCAGAGTGGACAGTGAGAGAGAGAGATAGAGAGAAAGGTCTTCCTTTGCCGTTGGTTCGCCCTCCAATGGCTGCCGCGGCTGGCGCGCTGCGGCCAGCGCACCGCGCTGATCCGATGGCAGGAGCCAGGTACTTATCCTGGTCGCCCATGGGGTGCAAGGCCCAAGCACTTGGGCCATCCTCCACTCACTCCCTGGCCACAGCAGAGAGCTGGCCTGGAAGAGGGGCAACCGGGACAGAATCCGGCGCCCCGACCGGGACTAGAACCCAGTGTGCTGGTGCCGCAAGGCGGAGGATTAGCTTAGTGAGCCACGGCGCCAGCCACACAGCTTTTCTTAAAACAACTTGTAATTGGGTGAGTATTTGGCATTGTGGTTAAGAAGCTGTTTGGATTACCCGTATCTCCTATCAGAGTGCCTAGGTTCAAATCCAAGCTCAACTCATTCCAGCTTCCTGCTAACACATACACTGAAGGAAGCAGGTGATGGCTGCAGTCCTCGGGTCCCTGCCAACTACAGGGGAGACCCGAACTAAATTTCTGGCTTCCAGCTTTGGCCTGGCCCAGCCCCAGCCACCAAGGGAATTTGACGAATGAACACATGGTTAGTAACTCTTTCTCACTATCTCTTTCTCTCCCTGTCAAATACCTAAGATAAACTAATTAAATTTAGAAAGAATCTTTCATGTTAGAAAAAAAAATACCGGCTGGCACCACGGGTCACTAGGCTAATCCTCCGCCTGCAGCGCTGGCACACTGGGTTCTAGTCCCAGTCGGGGCACCAGATTCTGTCCCGGTTGCCCCTCTTCCAGGCCAGCTCTTTGCTGTGGCCCGGGAGTGCAGTGGAGGATGGCCCAAGTGCTTGGGCCCTGCACCCGCATGGGAGACCAGGAGGAAGCACCTGGCTCCTGGCTTCGGATCGGCGCCGGCCATGGCCACCATTTGGGGAGTGAACCAATGGAAGGAAGACCTTTCTCTCTGTCTCTCTCTCTCACTGTCGGCCTGAGACAAGGTAGTGGATGCGAGGGGAGTGAGAGGATGCGATGGGAGGGGAGGGAAGGGGAGGGGAGGGGAGGGGAGGGAAGACCAACTTGTGATGTAACTTCAGCCTAGGCTGCGGTGGGTGGTGTGTCTGTGCTCCAGTCCAAGTGGGAATGCTCTGTATCTGCATAGACATCGCTCGCTGAAGAGGCTCTGGGGTGACTGTGCAGTCAGAAAGGCCAGGAGGACCTCATCGGCAGGAAGAGCCAAGCTACTGGACAGCCGACACTTGGAAACCGCGACTCTAAGCGAGTGTGCAGAATGATGCTATGAGATGCGTGTTTATATCACACATGTCATGCAATGCCGGGCAGGGTCACACCAATGAATGTTATTCTTTTAGATCAAGTTACTTCTCAAGGCAGCAAGGAAGCAACTGGCGTTTCTGCACTCTAAGTTTTCCACTGATTTATGCCAGCTACAGCGAAACTTGAATTCCAGCATCTAACAAGCAGCATTTGCTGCCAAGACAAACATTTAGAACCAATGGAATAGAAAAAAATAAGATTTCAGAGGAAAAACTCCGGACAGCCATAGTGTGACAAGGATGCGCCAGGCCGTGGGCCACGCTTGGGCTTGCACCTGTGTGATGATACAGTCACTCACAGGGCAGTACTTACGGCACTGGGGTCCCAAATCTTGCTTCGAGGAGACTTAGGCTGGACCAGCTACCTGACCAGCACCCAGCACAAGCTGCTAGTGTGGGATTCTCTGGGGCCGGCGCTATGTCGTAGCAAGTAAAGCCACTGCCTGCAGTGCTGGCATCCCATATGGGCACCGGTTCCACTTCTGAACCAGCTCTCTGCTATGGCCTAGAAAAGCAGTAGGAAATGGCCAAGCGCTTGGGCTCCTGTACCAGAATGGGAGACCTGGAAGAATCTTCTGGCTCCTGGCTTTGGATCAGCCCAGCTCCAGCCATTGTGGCCATTTGGGGAGTGAACCAGGGGATGGAAGACCTCTCTCTCTCTCTCTCTCTCTCTGACTCTGCCTGTCTGTAACTCTGCCTTTCAAATAAATAAACCTTTAAAAAAGAAATAGTGTGAGACTCCTTGTTAAAATGTATTCAGAATTTTAAGCTGGTGAGAACAGAGCATCGGTTTAAACCAATCATAAGCCCTTCTGAGCAGAGGACCCTGGATCTGTGCACAGGTCTCACCTCATGAAGCTGGCCCTGGCCTGAGGGATTCCGATGGGATTGCCAAATAGAATACAGGACACGCTGTTAATATGTGGACAGCCGGCGTGGCAGGGGACACACATTACAAAATTCTCCATTGTTTATCTGCAGTGCAAATGCCATGGGACATCCTATTACTCTTTCATTTACTGCAGCCGGCAATCCTGGAACCGGCAGCTCCAGGGTCATCCAAGGGGGTGAGGATGAAGGGAAGACCACCCCCAAGAATTTCAGATTTCATACCATCAGGTAAGATTCCATTTCATTCCATCAAGGTAAGATTTTTAAAGAAAGATTTATTTTATTTATTTGAGAGGCAGAGTTACAGAGAGAGAGAGAGACAGACAGACAGACAGAGACAGAGACAGAGAGAATCTTCCATCTGCTGGTTTACTCCGCAAATGACCACAACAACTGAGGCTGGGCCAGACTGAAGCCAGGAGCCAGGAGTTTCTTCTGGGTCACCCACATGGTACAAGGACCCAAGCACTTGGATCAGCTGCTGCTGCTTTCCCAGGTATGTTAGCACGGAGCTGGATTGGAAGTGGAGCAGCCAGGACTTGAACCGGTGCCCATATGGGACATTCAGGTAGTGGCTTTACCCACTACGCCAAGTGTCAGCCCCCAAGGCAAGATTTCTTTGAGGAGAAAATTTTGAAATTTCCTGACTAGAAGGAATGAAGAGAGGAGGGGGTGGAAAAGGGAAGAGGGGCAGAGAGGGAGAAGAGAGGGCAGGAAGGGCTTCTTTAACACTAAATACACGCATATCTAGCTTTGCCTTAAACGTGGATTTGAACTCGAAGAGGAATGGACGGGTCTGAAGCAGTGACTTTGGCCTAGCAACGATCCACTTACAGTTCCAATGAACTAGACAGTGTTTCAGTTAAACCTGAACCAAATCTGCCTTCTCCTGTCCGTGTCCTTTCCCTAGAAGACAAAAAAGTGCACCCTTTGTGGTTTCGTTCCTGCATTCCACCACATCGTCGGCACACCTGTAGTGTACGAGGCGCTTACTGTTTACATGCAGTCTAATGGTGACTCAAAGGATGAACAGGGGACGTCTGTCCCTCAGGGTGGGAGACCAGCAGGTGCACACAACACGCTTGACAGCATCAATGAGGAGTATGACAGGCACAGAAGAACAGCAAGTCAAGAGCAGAGCCCTTTCCAATGAGGATCAGGGAGTGCTTCCTGGAGGAGGAGAGCTTTTGATCTGAATCTTAAAGGATACGTAAGCTTCCTTCATTTGTTCCATTCATTTATTCAGTTCCTAATCCCTGCTAGTTCCTTAGAGAATCTACTCAGGCTAAGCTGTTCCAAAGTCCTTAGAGATGGAATAACTACCTCAATCCTGATGACAACTTAGGGCAATGAATGGAATCATCCCATTGCCCAGATAAGACAATCGAGGGCTAGTGAGGTTAAGCGAACTGCCAGGGTAACACGGCCAGGAAGCAGTGGACTAGGACTTAAACTGAGTCCTTGCTCTGGACAATCACACACCCAAACTTTCCCTCC